GACAATAGCTAATAAAAATACTGTCTTACATGAGAGCCATTTGAGGTCCGCCTGAAGTAAAGGCTTGAAGGGAGGGTGGCGCAGGGCTTCCAGGACCAAGGGCAGATCCCAAGCAGGTGCCCGCAGAACTGTTGGCGGGTGCAACCTGCGAGCGCCACGTAGAAAAAGAGAAACCAGGTTATGGCTTCCAACTGTACCACCATCAACGACAGCATGATTAGATGATATTGCCGCCACATATATATTAAGTGATGATGGAGAGCGGCCCTTATCGAGGAGAGATTGAAGAAACTCCAGGATAGTGGGCACCACACAGGAGACTWGATCCTCATCGCGGTCAGCACACCACTGAGAAAACAAACACCACCTGTTTTCATATTGCTGACGAGTAGAATGTGCCCTAGCACTTAAAATAGTGTACCTGACAGAGTCTGAATATTCAGTCAGCTGCTGCTCAAGCCTCCCAGTGGCCACACCCACAGCCTGAGGCGTTGAGGATTGGGGTGCCAGATCAGTCCCCCCAACTGAGACAATAGGTCCCTATTGGTTGGAAGACACCATGGRGCGTCTTGACACAGACTCCGTAGAAGTGGGAACCATGGTCATGCTGGCCAATACGGAGCTATCAGCAGCACCCTGTGGCCCTCTTCGAGAACTCTCTGAAGACTCAGCCAAATCAGAGAAAGGGGTGGAAAGGCATATAGAAGGACTCTTGGCCAGGGATGTGCCAAGGCGTCCTGGCCCAGTGCGCCTGATGCCCCCGTAAGGGAATACCACAGAGGGCAATGAGTCGACTCTTCTGTGGCAAGCAGGTCTACTTCTGCCTGACTGTAGAGATCCCATATCATGCGCACTATGTCGCTGTGGAGAGACCACTCTCCTGGAGCAGGTGCCTACCGAGAAAGGGAGTCTGCGGCCCGGTTGTCCTGCCCTGGTATGTACACTGCCCGCAGAGTGGACAGACAAGGGGAGGCCCATCTCAGGAGATCCCTGGCCACCTTCAGGAGCTGTGCCGACCTGGTGCCACCCTGATGGTTGACGTGGTAGACCACAGAGGTGTTGTCCGATCGAACCAGGACATGTTTCCCCTCCAGGTGGGGCAAGAAGTGCCTGAGAGCTAGAAACACAGCACTTAGCTCCAGCACATTTATGTGTCTGGAGCGATCCCGGTGAATCCAGTGGCCCCGAACCGCTCTGTGCTGCCACACAGCCCCCCATCCCATGGAGCTGGCGTCTGTCGTGACCACCTCCCTGCGACACACAACCATCCCCATAGGGACACCTTGGACAAATAAGCTCTGTCCCTCCATGGGTCCAGGGTACGCAGACAAGATCTCGTCACCACAATTTTGCGATGCTTGTGAAGCCTGGCATCCAGATGAAAACCACTGAGCCACATTTGAAATGGGCACAGTGACAGCAGACCTAAGGGCACGACCCAGGTGAGTGAGGTCAGTTTGCCTAGCAGCTGCAGGAAGGTAATGTAAGGAAGCCGCCTGCCCAGCCTGAATTGACTGATGTGCCGGAGAACATCGTCTACCCTCTGAACAGACGGGTAGGCTTTCAAGGAGGGTGAGTTCAAGAACACCCCAAGAAAAGTTGTTGCCTGYGATGGAATCAGGCAGCTCTTTGCTAAGTTGACCTTGAGGCCTAACCGGGACATGTGGGCAAGCAGGCRACTTGTATTGCGAGACACACAAGCTCGAGATGGGGCGCAGAGAAGCCAATCGTCGAGGTATGGGAGAACCTTCACTCCACAAGCCTGCAGAGGGGAGAGAGCTGCCTTCACACACCGAGTGAAGACCCTCGGTGAAAGCGAAAGGCCGAATGGGAGTACCCGGAACTGCCAGTGGTGACCCCAATATGCAAAGCTGAGAAAGCGGTGATGTTCTGGCGCAATGGGTACATGGAAGTACGCATCTGTCAGGTCTACTGATGTGAACCACTCTCCCCTTGCAATAGCCTGCAGGACCTCTGCCGTGGTGAGCATGTGAAAGGGCAGGTCCTTTAAATACTGATTGAGACCCTGAGGTCCAGAATGGGATGAAATCCGCCCGTCTTCTTCGGCACAAGAAAATATGTTGAATAAAAACCTCTRGGTTGCTGCAGAGGATCCACCGCCTCGATCGCACCCTTGGCCAGGAGGGTGGAAAGCTCCTGGTCCAGAGCATGAGCTTTCACCGGGTCGGCGATGAAAGTCTCTCTTACCTGGTGTGATATGTGAGGGTGCCGTCGGAACTGTAACCGGTAACCATGGGTCAGAGTGGCAACCACCCATGGGTCCACGGTTTGAGCAGCCCAACAACTGAGCTGCTGATGAGAAAAGTATCCGACGGCCAGCATGGTGGCATCACTTCCTCTCCCCACGGCCCCTAGGGGGCCTGGGGGCGTAACAACCAAAAGCTGTGGCCTGGGCCTGTCTGGTTGGCTGGGGAGCTGGCTCACGAAAGTCCCTGCTGGGTCTCCGTTGCGCAGCACGAGGATAAGGACCTACAGGTCTATCGAAACCCCGAGGTGGTGGCCGAGGGTTGGGGCCAGCTGATGGAYGCCTMAGGTTACGAGGAGATGGARGCACACTCCTGTTAAGGCCTGAAAGCTGCTGCCTAGTTTGTTGCGCCTGGACAGTATGTTCCAGGGTTTCCACTGCCACAGAACCAAACAACTCCCCTGGCACCACAGGAACATTACGGAGGGTCCTACAGCATGTCTCAGTAAACGTGGACTGAGCCAGCCAGACCTGTCTGCGAGCCTGAACCAGGTAGGACATCACACGTCCAAGCTCCCTTGTCATAAGTGCAAAGGCCTGAAGCGCTGCATCACTAAAGCCAGTGGCGGTGTTTGTCCCATTAGCATCCTGAAGGGATGCGGAAAGGGCAAACATRAAAGGGCAAACATGAGGTGTACCAGAGAGTTGCCAAGGCGGCCAGCACGTGCTCCTGAATTATAAGCCTTACAGATGAAGTCATCTGTAATGCGACATTGGGGCCGCAGGCACCGAACATCATGATGCAGAGCCTCATCCAGTGGCACAATGAGTGAGGCAACTGCAGGTTCAACCAAAGGCATTTGATCCAAGCCTTCCTTGACCGCGTCATGCATAGCCGCCAACACCCGACCATCTGTGTTGAGGCGCAAAAAGGTCCTAGGGTCCCACCAACAGGCATGCAACTCCCTCAGGTACTCCTCTGATGGAGGAACCAAAAAGGGAGTGGGGGCCCGCTCTCTTCTGAAAAAGGCACTTGCAGGGGTGGACTCCTCCACCTTCGGAACATCTAGCTGCAACTGATTTAGAGCCAGACGCATAATATCCTGCATAGAGCCATCACCTGACGCACCAGAAGCACCCTGAGACGAGGAGCATGAGCCCGTCTCCGAAGCGTAGGACGACTGTGCCCCCTCCTCAAAGTGAGAGGCAGAGGCTGCCAAAGACAGCACGTCCTCCTCCCTAGTCAACTCAGGTATGGTTGGGGACCCTGTTGGTCCACCCAGCTGGCGTGTCTGAAAAWAGAGATTTCATTTCTGCCAACTCTGCAGACAGCTGTGYAACCTGCCTGGAAAGGCCCTGTTCAGGTTTGACCCGCCTCTATTTTGAAGGGGCGACAGCGACTATGGCAGTCCTGCGCTTAGAGCGCCTAGGCGCGGCCACCTGACCAGAAGGGGGAAGACTAGGATCATGCTCGGGGTCCAATTGGGCCAGCCGAGCCACTYTCACTGCGCGGGGCATATRACTGCAATTCATGCAAGGGTTCTCGGACAGGGCCTCCACCAGGTGGTCATGTCCGAGGCAGGCAGGGCACAGATTGTGGACATCCTCCGCCTCAAGCCCAGCTCCACAACTCGCACAACAGTGGGAGCCGTCCATGCTCACAAAATAAATAAGGAMTCAGAAAGGCTAACACCRTTAGCTCAATAACAAGCCTCGAGRCTGAATAAGTTGGGAGAGGGGACGAAAACGTTGCCGTCACCAACCAATGCACGCACCAACTCAAAAAGGCTAACCCCGTTAGCTCAAGTAACAAGAACTGAGGCTGAGTAAGTTGGGAGCGGGGGCGAAAACGCTGCCTTCACCAACAAATTCACACATTAACTTAAGAAGGTTAACACCGTTAGCTCAACTAATCAAAACTCGAGCTGAAAAAGTTGGGAGAGGGGACGAGAACGCTGCCGTCACCAACAAATACACATCAACTTAGAAAGGCTAACCCCGTTAGCTCAATTAAGCAAAACACAAGCTGAATAAGTTGGGAGCGGGGGCGAAAACGCTGCCTTCACCAATAAATTCACACATTAACTTAAGAAGGCTAACA